GGTGGCGGGTGGTTGAATACATGGTTGTTCAGAATACATAGTTTTTCAGGGGTTTTCAGAATACATGGTTGTTGTTGGGAAACTTGTTTCCCATTTTTGCTTAGTGTGGTTTAGTGGTTGAAATCCCCAGTCAATTGCTAAAATTTAAGTTGTTGCTCCCCGTCCAACGTCAACCAAGGGTGGCCGGTCTTGTTTTTGAGTTGGTACCCGTGTTTTTTGGTGGTTCTGAAGGCAGACCACAAGGAAAGCCCAGCATTTTGGGGGTCCAGATCCTAAAAAGCGAGATATCCAGATAAGGAGCAGAGTAGTTAGTTACTCATCGTTTACCCCCATGATCAGTGTTTTGTTTTGGTTTTGAAGCAGACAACCCCGTTCTGATTCTTTAGGCCCTCATCATATGTTGAGTTGTGTTGAGGGAACCCAGAAGGAAACTAGCCAAAAACCCGGATGCTGGGTTTCCCGCTGGTTGCAAGTCGGTGCTGCTACTTGGTTCGATGTCTTCCTTGTTGGCAAAACGTGGCTTGCCCAGTGGTGCACGTTTTGTTTTATTATTATTATTATTTTTTTGGGAAGGGTCCCCCTTTAAAGTCAACCAACCAGGAAAGGATGCCTTTTTTTTCGCATGGAAATCCACCGGGCATCTGAGAGAATGCGGCTTGCACTCGCTTCCGGACGTTTCCGTGGCGTGCGATCAGCCGTTTGAAGTGATGCGACCGATGCACTCGATCGGAAGCGGGTTCTGGAGTTAACTATTGGTCCTCTAAGGATGGCCTTGTTGCAAGGAAGGGAGCAAGGACCCCCCCTAAGTGTTGATAATTTGCCTTGGTTTTGAGGTTCAGTGTGGTTCACTTTCAATACCGCTGGCGTGGTTTGGTAGATGGGGCAATTCCCTTGGGTTTGGTCACTCTCACCCGAGGGAAACTTGCCATCTTCAACTCTAGCGCCATTGTTTGTACTCGCCCTTGACGCAAATGGTGATACAAATCCTTGGTTCAGGGTTGAGCTTTGACCAAGCTGAGGCATCCACCATGGTGGTATCTCCTTTTTTAGGGCCCCCCATCATGGCGGTTGTCCTTTTGGTTTCCTTTGAAAACTTTTGGTTTCCCTTGAAAACCACAAAAACCCGGGGATACCTGGAACATCCACCAATCCAAAGGGGAGCCACCAATAATTCTTGGGCCTTTCGCGCGCACGCGCGCACGCCCTGGCTGTTCTCAGGGCTTCGTGCGCGTTTCCAGGTCGCAGGCGGGGTTGAAAAAGTTGAACTCGGGGGCCGTCCGTTTGGACGCTTGTTGGCTGGTGCAAGGGTTTCTCTCATGGGGAAACCCATTCAAAAGGAAGTCTCTCTTGATGTTCCTCCAAAACAGCCCAAGGAGCTACCTCGAAGAAGAACAGCTCCAAATGGGGAAGCTGGACGAGAACTGGCCCTTTTACCTGGGCATTCTGGAGAAAAATCCATGTGCGGGTTGCGCCGAAAGGTGCGCTACTCACTGTATATATGTTGGCCCTGTTTGCCTTTGTTAGTTACTCATTCATGCTGCATTTGAACCGTTAACAAAGATCACTTTGTGCAACGAGTCAATTCTTGTTCGGCGGGCTTTTTTGTCTTGTGCGTTTTATGGCGTTCAATTCGGGCCATTTGTTTGGCCGTGGGTTGGGACGCTGACTGTTTGAACAACCTAGGCGATTTCTGGACCTTATGCTTGGCTGGTCTTTGGTGCGACCTGAGCCCCTTAGACCAATTTTGTTCCATCAAGGGCCGGGAAATGACGGGAGCTTTTGAGATAACGTCCTCTCCTCCCATGGCTCATACTACAAGACCTAGTCTATTCAACCTACAACAGGTGATCAACCTTTTACTCAGGGAGAAAAAAGGCAACCCATGCGGCACGACAGCCATGAAGGTTCCTTCTGCGGCGGCGAGTTGGCTTTTGGAGCCCGGAAAATAACCCCCCTCGGGTGAAGAGCAGTGCACCATAGACTATCCGATCTTCCGACCTTTTGGTTCCGTCTTTGGCCCACTCTTAGTCAAAGTCCCGGAAGGTTTCACTTTTTGATTTCCATGTCCTTTAGTTGCCTTCGGGCAACTGAGTAGACGAAAGCCTTCATGATTAGGGACACCCTCCCACATCTGCCAGATTTGCACTCAACTGGAGTCGTCCTTGAGTCATTCATATCACTCAGCTATGGGCTTTGCTTCAATCGATTGCGCAGTGTTGACCCTACCACTTGGTTTGACGTGTAGCTTACCTTTCTTTTGGTCAACCGGTGCTTCCCTGCTTCCATTTGCTTAAGAAGGTGTTTTTTGATGTTCCCTTGCTGGTTTTAAAAAGGAACTTATCACTATACTGGACATTTTATTTCCAGGGGGTCTAGTGGGTCATAACCAGATGGTCTTAACCAAATGGAACTAAGAGCTGAGACACTAGTTTTTCCATTTCTTTTTTCCAGAGTGTCGAAAAAAAAAAAAAAAAAAATGGACACCCTTGATGTCTCGGCTCTTTGCAGGGCGCCCAGGAAATTCCAGAGTCTAATACTTGGTGCGCGGTGCATGCCGACCAATGGCATGGCAAGCATAGGTGCGAGCTCTGAAAGGGCTTGGATGAAGCTGTCTCTTGGGAACCTCATGTCACTTGCCTCAAAAACCAGCCACTGGAAAGTCTATGAGAAGTCAAACCCCATGATCTTGGAGGGTCATGTCGACCCAGGCTTGATACACCTCCGATGGGCGAAAATTTGGCGCCTCGCAAGATGGAACCCCCGAAAAGTCCACCAGGTGATGCGGGATCGACCGGCCTTGTTTCCATTCTTGTTGAATGAGTCGTTCCCTCTACTTCACAAGGGAACTGTGCCAGCTACTTTCACCCTGGTGTTGGATTTCTTGAGTTCTGTGGATGGCTCGCGGCCAGCAGGAAGCAGCTCTCAAGGCCCACCAAGCCATGTCGCTCCTCCAGGACGCGAGGGGACAAGGTGAGCCACCCGTTGAGTGCGGATATCCGGCTTGTCTGTTTTTGTTCTTTGCACGGATGTGGATAGACAGTTGTGTCGTCGAAAAAAGGGTGGAGGCATTTTGCGCGAGCTTGGTGACGTATAGCGCTTCCTTGTCCAATGTTGGGGAGCTTGGTGACATATTGCGATTCCTTTTCAGTACGTGCATTGCATGTGTCAAAGTCTAATGTGGGCTTTTCAATTGGGTTTGTCAAACAGAGGAACCCAGAAGCGCAATGGGTTCGAAGCTAGTGGCATATGCAAACATTTGCAAACCTCGATGTCTTTACTATCTAGATATCTAGATTCTAGATATGACCCCCGTGGATGCAGTTTCCTTGGCTTGGTGTTCCCAGTTGCCATCCGCCGAAGGTTTTTCAACGCTGCAGTAAGGCATTGAAACCGGGGCCGCAATCTGTGGACGGCTGCGAAATCCAGAAACCGCAACACCAAGTGAAACCACGGGAATGAAACCATGACGTTTGTTGGTATTTACGTTGGGGAATCGAATCATTCCTTTGAGCTTTGCTGAGTTCGGTGGTGCGAAATGGATTTCGCAACCCACAGTATGTCTCTTCTTCAGGGTCGTGGGATCAAGGGCTTTCTCCCCACTTCTGTGATACAAGGGAATCCCTCTTTGTATGAACAAAGTAGTCTTTGGGAAGCCCTTTTTGTTGTATCATAGAAGTGGATTCCATTCCCCACAGCCCTGCTCTTCTTGGTTTGAGGGGACCACCATTTCCGGGTCCAAAACAACCCATATGCCCAGTTCTCCAGTTCTCCGCAGGACCGGCAGGTCGAGGACTCTGGGTCCAACGATCTGGACGGTGCGCTCAGGAGAGGAGGGAGGTGAAGCTCCTTGGTAGCGTGTCCACTTTGGAGGTCTTCAAGGTCCCCCAGCAATTGGTGCCCTACCTCTCACCCCTTTTTTTCGGTTGGGAGGAACCCCCCCTACCAAAGTAGACAAAACCGAAAAAAAGTAGGTATACCCTTATTCTATTTTTGCATGGAACCTTCAAAAGGTGATCAACCTTTTGCTCACAGCTTGGAGCACCACAGGCTGTACAAGGGGAAATGAGGTATTTCTGGGATCTTCCCAATGACGGGGGGATCGGTGTGTGTGGTGACCCCCGGTCGGGAAATACAGGGACCCCCGCCCAAAAACGAGGCTGGCTACACAAATCTTGAAATATGCTGGCGATGTCCAGCTTGACTTCAATGGCTCAGTTGTGCTAAGATTGCTGGTTTCACCGCATCCCCTTCCGCTTCCCCATTCGCATCTTGTTGCCCTCGGGAACTTGTTCGATCGCAGGACCGATGGAAAGCTTTTGAGGCGTGCCGCCCAAGCGCAAGTCAGCGCTTGTGGGAGAGTTCGAAGAACGGGTGGGGCTGATCTTAAAGGTGGGCTTTAGGGGTTGTTTTCAAGGTCAGGACCCAAAAGAAATCATAGTTGTTTGGAGCGGTCCCCCATTTCAATACACACCCACATATTTTGCAGGGAAGCTCCAAGTCTGCTTTCCTGAGGTTTCTCTGCCGGTTTCCATGTTGCTACCCTTGTGACCCGGATTTCGGAGCAACACATGGGTGTGTGTGTGTGTTTTTCCGACACCCAGGGCAAACCACCTGTTTTGGGGGGCTTCCCAATTTTGAGACAAAACCCTTCTGTGTACTTCCAAAATGCTGGGCTGCCAGTGCTCATTGACTATCAACGTTTGTTTTTGTAACGATGGTTGAAAGGCCCCAAAAGTTTGTCAACCACTCTGGTAGTTCGATTGGGCCAACTTCTATTTGTAAAGAAGATTATATCCTTGTTGGCTCCCGGCCATAGCCTTAGCTTTTTGCTTTGTAGTGTTTAGTGGGGTTTTCCATTTGGCCCACTAAAAGTTAGTCACTTTTAGCGGGGGATCTGAGGACAGCTCAGCATCTAGCGGTGCCATGGTTCCCGTTCTGGAGGGGTTCTCTCTAAAAACTCACCGACCACTGAGTGCCATCTGAAAGCGGCTCGGGGCGGCATGCCCCGCCCCACCAAATCGGTCGGACGCATGGCAGGGGGCTTGGGACTTGGGGCTTGTCACAAGGTGGGGTCGAAATCCAAATCGTAGCCCCACTGAACATCCCAGTCCAACCACTCAAATAGGTACTAAAATGGGTGGTGCACCTAGCCCAAAATGGTACCATTGGTTTTGACCCACAGCCATGTGTGTGTGTCCCTTTTTTTGGGGCACCCCCCCCTCCCAAAAGACAAAGAATTGGTTTTCCTTGTGGTTTCGCTTTGAAGCCATCAACAAATGGTACCCTAAGAAGACAGACCCAAATGGTGAACCGCTTTCAGTTGGCTAAATGAGGCTTTGGAGCTCCCGGAGAAACCAATTAGAAAGAGACCCATCGGCGATCCATTAAAAACCCTGGTTGCGACCACTCCGCGGACTTATTTCTTACACTGGGCCGAAGTGCTCACCACTTCCACTGCCATCAAGACACCTTGGAAAACTCAAGTGTCCCCTAAAATGGTAAGGGCGTCCTCTTCCCTTGAAATACGCACTAAAAACTGGGTGGCTCCCAGCCATCCGGTTCCTTAGCTTCTTAGCTTTTTAGTGTTTAGTGGGGTTTTCCATTTAGCCCACTAAAAGTTAAACTTTTAGAGGGAAATCTGAGGACAGCTCAGAAAAGAGATCCCTTATTTTTAGAGGCCCCCCCCATTCCCCATTTCAAGCGCCTGTCGCTACGGCCTCGGGAGGTATCACGGCCTGGAGGTGCCTGACGAGAATCATCCAGCAGAGACGCGGCTCACCAGCCTTGAGAGCCAGTGACCCCCTGGTGTTTTTTGTTTTTTGCGGTCGGTTCGTTTCAGGTCCCATCCACATGGCCCCCAAGGGCCACGAGCACTTGCCCCCGCTTGCCAGGTACATCGGCCAAATCGGCGTTGGCCGGGGGCACCAGTTGAACCACTGGACCGAACGGAACTCCTGTTGGCTGCTGTTCAAGGGAAGCCCAAATGGAAATCCGCCCTTTTCCCGGGTCTCCAAAACAATGTGCGTTAGTTTTTTGGGTCGATGAAAGGGGTATAATACTATTCAATGCTCCTCTTAGGTAACCATGAAAAGGGGATTTCAACCCGTTCTCGGGGGTAGGGAAACCACCGGAAGACCTTCAGACCAATCCACCAATTCGAGGAAAGCTGATCTTGTTGGTTTGAAAGGGGAAACCAACAGTGAAAGTCTTAAAAAAAGGAAAGCCGAACGTCTTTGTTTGAGGGTACCTCCCTTTTTTTCGTAAGGATCGTCAAACGGAAACCCACATTTGTTCGGGTTGTCCCTCAAAAAGCCGACGAGCCAGCGACGCCGTTCGGCCTTAGCTCAAGGCTCTGTGCTGTATCCTTCCGGCTGTGAGCCGAAGAGCGAGTCAGCCCGGCCTCGTTTGGGCGAAATGGCTGTGGGTCAAAAATAGGTACCCAAAATGGCTCTTGCTCTGGTAAATGGAAACATGGACGATTTAACCTGCGGTCCCGTGGTGGTTTAATTTTGACCCATACCCAAATGGGGAGGTTCTACCTGCTGTTGCTTGGCCTAGAGGCTACCGGCAGGAGGGGGTCCCTCTAGGTGAGGCGATGCAACTTGATTTGGTTTCTCAAGAACTTGCTGGTGCGAGAGATGCATGGAATGACAAATGGAATGACCCCTACAAACAAACCATCCCCTATGGTGTCCTTTCAGGGAACTGCGGAGGGTTCTTCGAAGCGTTTTCCACTTGTCTTTGGAGTTCCGTATGGAAGCTACCAAACATAGGGTACCCCCTTTGTTTCCACAACTGGGCGCCAGAGGTTCTATGGTGCTTTCCAGAGGCAGGATTTCCCAACATCTGCCGGAAAGCATGAAACAGATGAATCACCTTTTTGAAGGATAGGGTATGGGTCAAAATGAAGCCATAGGTTTTAGTCCTTTGTTTCCAGTACCAGGGTTCCATTTTGGGTACCTATTTTTGACCCCACACCCAAATTGCCCCAGGTTTCTTCTGTTTTGCATTGGCCTTTGCAAACGGGCATGGTTGTGATTTTGCCAACAAATGCCAGACCTATGTTCGGTTTAGCACACAGAGAAGCTTTAGAGCTGATCTGTTGACTTAGTCAAAATCTCTATGGTCTCGGAAGGGACATTGGGGGACTCAAGATTCCCTCAACCAGGGGGACTGACTGTGTATATATATATATATACACATATGTATCTATATATAATATGTTCCATGAAGCACTTAATCTTGACCTTGGCTTTTTTGGTCTTACTCTCTGGTTGCGAAGTTCCCCTTGTTGCTCCCGGGTCGAAGGCGTCGCGTCGCCAGGTCGCTCATCTACTTGGGCCCGGCCGAGTACGCGAAAGCCTCGGAGGAGCCAACGCCAAAGCGACCTTTAAGTATGAGCCTCTCAGATCAGGCTCGCCAAAAACAAGTTAGCCAAATTTGCTTTGGGAGTGCTGCTGCCTTTCTTCCTATTTTGAGCTTGCTCCCGAGGAAAAGCTGGTCAAACTTATCTATGTTACAGGTGTCCCCTTGTATTAATTGGCCACCCATTTTGAACAACCCCAATGAATCGAGCTGCCTAAGGGCCTTGGAGCTGTTTCATTCATGCCGGACATTCGCACACTTCGAGAGGCCATAGATTAGTTAACCTGGGTTACTAGCCACATGCTATCCTCCGACTTACATGTCGAGTCGGAAAGCCGCAAGCTTTTGGTATAGGTGTCTCAATCATTTCAGTCAAGCTCCCCAGGAGAAAAACAAACACAACAGAAGCACGTGTTGTTCTGTGGGATGGCAGGCAACAAACCGCGGCGGCACTTGTGCCAACCCCCTAATTAACCACCCAACCCCCACCACACTCACGCAAGCACCCCCTATTTGATTGAACTCGGGACCGGCCATGGACTGTCCTTGAACCGGCAGCTACCAAAAGCCCTTGAAAATACCCAAGAGTCCTCAAAAACGATTCCCGAGGCTTCTGTTTGGTGAGTCCCTCATTAAACATGTTTTTTTTTTTTTTCAGGGCTTAAGCAAATGGAAGTGACTTTGAGAACCCCTCGAAATCTTCCACTGCAATGGACCCAGTCGATCCCTCCGATCCGTGGCTCGCAGGAGCAGAAGAAGTCTTGCCACGCCCTGGCCCAAGGGGTGAAGGTAGCTTACCTGGGTGCGCAGGTCCGCTTGAGAGCTCATACTTACCATTGTCTACTGAGGGAATGACATTCTCAGTTGTTCAGTGGCACCAATTATTTGTCCTTATTTTTGGTGGCTGCCCCACTAAAAGTGGTCTTCCCCAAAAGGGGTTCCCTTCCTTTTCCAGGGCCACTGAACAATTGAGCATTGGGTATACTCGCCAAATGCAATGGGGAAACGGGCAACTTACGCAATTTTCATGTAGTTGGCCATGTTTCCAGGAGACACTGCTTAAGCGCGCTTTGCCTTTGTTGTTCAATCACCCAACTCAGTTGCAGGAAGTTCTGTTTGGGTCTGTCTCAAAAGAGGGTCAACCCTTGTTCGGGAGGGCTTTACAGGGAAACTCACAGTAAGTACCCACCGTTTAGGGGTTCCAATGTTGAGGCAACCCTGAAGGGGCGATGTGCATGGTTCGTATGGGTTGCGGCCCGTTCAGTTATAAGTGGTGATTGTTCCCTTGTTAAATGACAGGGTTAATCCCAATCCCGTTTTGGTTTTTTTAAGGGCACGCGGTTTTTGCTTCATTTCTTCGATGGCGGGGACAACGGGCACTTGTTTTGCGTGTTGCCTTGTTGCGTCTTTTCTTTTTTGGGGAAGGGCACTTAAAACAAAAAGTAGTCGACACGAAACAGGTGCCACTAGACGTCTGGGACCAAGCAGTCACCGGGCGCCACGTTGCAGTCTAGATCGCCTGTGTGTGTGTGTTTTCAGTATGTCAGAGGCTCCTGACCCCTCCATTGGACACCCCGGAGGTGTTTGGGGGTCTCAAAACCTGGCTGTTTGAGGGCCCTAAATGAATCGGGAGCCTCTGGGACTCTGGGATGTCAGTATGGTACGTTTAGAAGTGACATGGGGGAGGACGAGCTCTAAACTTCTCCAAAAAGAAACCAGGGGGTGACGAATTGAATTCCCCGTCAAATGCGAGCGGTACATGCGGTTCCTTTTTTCCACATCCTCAGACATGCAGTGGGCTGACTGCTCGCGCGTTCCCAAAGCGTTTCGCTCAAGAGCCTGGCTTCTAACCTTCCAGGTCTCCCTTGGTCACTTTGGGTATTGCCTCAGGGCTCCCGAATGGGAGGGATTCCTTTGACCTTAAAGCAAGGGGTGAACCATTTTGAGCGTGTGGTTATCCAAAAAGGTCGTGACCTTTGAATTTCCAGGTCCTCCTGCAATTCAGAACCCTTGGAGTGCGCTTTCCGTTTGGATTCTGCTTGGCACCATAAAGAGGAGGTCCATTTTTTTTGGAGAAACAGCCCATATTGTCCTTCAAGGTCAAACCCGGATTCATAACCCTTGGATAATAGCAAACCAATCTAAATTGACTCGATAGAAATATGCCCGCTAAAGATATACCGTGTCATCGCCTTCATGTTTTGGGGATGTTTTGGGGAAAGCACCTATTTTGTATTTGCCAGGTTCTGCTTCAATCCGTCAACATTACCCAGTGCCTTGTTTCATCAAATTTCGGGCCTGGGTTCCTTTTCGAAGAGCTTGCAGGTCCGAGACGAATCCTTGGTGTGGGTGGTCTTTGACACAGGCCAGGTGTGCCGATTTGGAATCCTTGCCCCCCTCCGGATTCCTAGTCAGAAAATGGTCGATGGGTGGAGACCCAGGAACCAGTGAAATCAATGGGCCATCCACCCCACAAGGTCCATCAAGAAGCCATCAAGTCAACTAAAAGTTTAGATGAAGGATTTTTCGGACTTTACGCCGGGCGTTTATCCTTTTGGGCACTTTCGCCGGAGTGTCAACCTTGAATGTTTGCTTAGCTGCGGACATGAAGGTCAAAGAACACCTTTCAGACCCATTGGATTTGAGCTGCAGACTTGGAAAGGACCAGCGTGCCGTTTGCCACCCACTCCCGTGAAGAGAAGGAAACCCCTCTGAGTTGCACCGTGACGGATGGATCTGGCATTGCCGGGTCAAGAAGTTTGCCACCTAAAAAGACGAAACCCCAAAGAGTATCCAACAACTGCGCCCTCCAAACCGCCCCAAACGATGCCACGATTGGCTTGCACCCCATAGCCCCATAGCCCCATCGCGGGAAAAACAAGCTCGTGTCAATTTCGGCCGAGAGGTCTCCGCTATTGCGATCAATCAAACGGCGCCGGGGTATAGAAATTAGAAAAGCAGAGAAGTTTCAGTCCCGTACAAAAATCATGGATGTTCCTCATGTCTTTTCTGGCAACTTAGAAAGGGGCATGGCATGCGCCGGCAGCTACGTTTTTTCTGATTGTTCACACCCCGAGTTCTTGGACTTTCCACTTGGGAAGACAATGTTAGTGGCAAACAAGAATGTTCTCTTTTTGCCAATCCGCTGAGGAAGTGTCACTGCGGTTCCCACAGCAAAACGGCAAACAGCCATTGTCTTGCCCCAGCGGGTCCAAGTACCTTCAAAGGAGGTACTTAGACCCCTTTTCACCCCAAAAGCCATCCTCATGAACTACTTGGACCCTCTGGGTACAATTTTCAGGAAGGGTTGTTCCCTTGGTTACACCTGGGTGTAAGATGGCACAATTCCCTTCTGGGTAAGTAAAGGGGACCACTGAACCAAAGTGGGTGTGGCTCAAAAAATTAAACAGGAGGGGTTACGCAGGTTTTGGCCCATGTTTCCACTTACCAGGGTTCCATTTTGGTACCGCTTTTTTGAGCCACAGCCAAGTGGGGGATTGCGCCATCTACGTTCACTTTCAACTCTCAATCTGCTTCGCGACCTTCGCGACGCGCTATTGGGATCAAAGATGCATAGGTCGACCGAACCTCCCACGAGCCCAAAGCTGTTTGGCTCTTGTACCAAGCCCCTTTGAATCCCAACCCCTGAAACTTAGACTTGGGGAAGTGGGTGAGTTATCATTTTTCCAGTTATTGACGTTGACGTTTTGCCGCTGTTCGATCAAGGAACACTGGGGGTCGCCCAACCCCCTTCCCCTTCAGGTAGGGGATGCCGTCGAGGGGTTTTGGGGCCGACTTGAGGTCCTGTTGGTTTTGAGTTCGAGGGGCGAAGAGACCATTGAGGGACCCATTCAAACCCGAGAGAGCGGAGTTGCTGTGGTTCCAACTCTTACCCTCAGGTGGGCCAAGTGTTGCGCGTCCAAGTGGTTCTGGATATTCTCACTGGCCTCATGGTGGCTCGAAAACGGAACCTCCCCTCCGCCCCATAAGGGTGCGCCAAGAAACCCCGCGTGATGGGAGTCTACCCGGCAGGTAGCACCAACATCTGGGTGTCCTCGGTGCTTTGCGGCGGCCTCGGGGTGGCAATTCCGCAACCCCATCACCAGGGAAAAGGGGTTCAACGTCCTTTCACTTGGCCGGGTTTCAGCTATGAAAGCTTTTTGGATGTTTCAGGATGCGGCCATGGGTCAAAATCCAAATCGTACCCCCAGTGAACATCCCAATCCCCACTAAAATAGACTAAAATGGGTGGTGAATTCACCTACCCCAAAATGGTACATTGGTTTTGACCCACAGCCATGTATCCAGACTTTCGGCAAATGAACTGCCAAGTTCAGAGAGCTCCCCTGGAGCGTAGGGCCCAGCTTCCTAGCCGACCTTGTTCGTGGTTTCCCTTGGTGGAAAACCAGGGTGCTGGATCCAAGGGAAGGGGAAAGACACACCTCTGCCAACAATGAGCCCTCTGCCTGGTCCACTTGGCGCATCCGGCCGGAAAAGACACCTGGAAGAAACACCGGCCCAGGTTTTTAGTGACCGGAAAAAAAGAAGCTCAGGTGATATCCCCAGCATGCGGTGCTCTTTTTAGTGCTCGCACCACCCCGCAGCCCTCGCAGAACCTCGCAAAACCGGGTTTCACTTGCCAAAAGGGGCGCCAAAAACTGTTATTTTGCCACAACACCGGGTTTCACTTGCCAAAAAAGAAGCCCAAGCCTCCTCCAACTCAGCTCGACCCAGGCACCCGAGGTCCCTGTGCAAGCTCGAGCCGGAGCCGGTACAACCGCACGCCCGGAAGCCCAGAAAGCACCAGAAAAAACCCATCCAAGGGCCGACAGAATTTGTTGGTCCTTGGTCCAAACTCTTGGAGTACTCACTTCCTGAGTTCATGAACTTTAAGCTTTTTGGGAAGCCCGACTGTTTTTGGGCCATCCACTCAGCAAGTGATTGCTGCAATTGTTCTTGGCGCCAGTTGTTTTAGCTTTTGCGGGGGGTTTGTTTGGTTCTGTTCATTGTTCCTGGGGGGGGGAGGCTCAAGAAGCAAAGGTCTTTGCTGAGGTTTTGGAGTAGCTCTGGGGGTGGTCCCCCCCAAGCCTCATGACCATGTGAGCCACAATCAAAACCCGGGTAAGTGAAGGTTAGTAAGGGAGGATCCCAGCCATAGCTGCGGCCGCCTTCTTAGTTCTTTACATGGTTCCGGGTCGACCATTGTAGTACCGGGTTTTGATTGTGACCTATGTGGTGAGGCTGTCTGTGGTTTCCCCTTCCGTTTAAAACAAGAGCATGCCAAGGATCTCGGAGCTTTCTGAAGATGGTATTCCTTCACACGTCGGGGTTGAAGCCACGATCTTCGGAAGATTGGCCACTGACCTATCTGCGATCCAACCCCCCAACAGCCACCGCAAAACAAGCTTCCATCGGGGATCTGCTTTGAGGTCCTCACAGGCGACAGAAAGGGCTGCGATTTCTGGACGCACATTTGGCGAACATGACTTTCGGAACCCAAATTGAGATGTTTGGGACCCACGCTCAAGTGAGTGAGGGTGTGTTCCTTAGTGTACTACAAATGTCAGATTCCTTTAGAGGAACCCAAGGGTTCGCGCCAAAACGGATGAGCTCTCTAAACACATGTTTGAGCTCCTTGCTACTCAAGCGAGTGTGCCAAACTTGCCCCAAACAAGTGACAAGTGGAGCACTCGGAGGGTCCGAATGCTTCGTTTCCGTCTGTGTGTGCTCTTGGGGGGCCTGGGGCAAAACCGGGCTCCCCTTGAAGCAGAAGCCAGCCAAAAGGAG